TTTCCTTTGAGATGATGGTAAGATGACGATCTCCATGATGAAGGCAAAGCTCTAAGTCCACTCAAACGTACCACGTATTCGGTAGTTCAGAGGTCAAATTTACTTTCATCAATCGGAATAATAGATTTTAGAAATAGGGTGTCCGCCGTTTGCCAGACCGCCGGAGTGAGTGAGAGAAAACAACATTTAATATATATATTAGCAATTCAATTTGATTCTATGTCTAGCTGATTTCTCTTCTGTGCACTATGGATAAAAAATAATCTTACTATAATTGTTCTATGGGTACCCTCTTCTAATTAAAAATAATTAAATTTCTTTAATTAAGTGTTATGTTTTAATCTTCTACATTTTGAGTTAAAATTGAATCTGATCAGGACAATATGTGATTAACTAGACTAGAAAAATTGTTCAAGCTAAAATAATAAATATAATTATATATCTATATCTATATATAATGATGCATGCATTACAGCAGTAGTTAAGAAACTATAGTCCGTTAATTTGTATCAAAACATTGGTTGATCCGAAGGATATGGAATCCAGAAAAGCAGACAGAGTGATGAGCATGCAAGTGAACACTTCCTCCATCTTTTATGTTTCATATAAAATCTCTTTTGCACTCTCCTGGACTTCCACTACAGTCATCTGGGCATCATTTTTTGGTTGAATACATTTGGTTATCACCTGGGTAACATTGGCATCACTTTTGCCACCGACAATATTTTATTTTTTTCAATAATTTACTAGTGGAAATATGCCAAACTTTATGTTGGAAGTGTTCTTTTGATATCAAAATACTTTAGTAAAAAAGTGGCATGAGACCCTTATTAATTGCATTGTCCTGATTTCTTGATGCATGAGGACTCTTTTAATGTGTTATTTGATGGCTTTGCATTTGATTCTCCTCCTAAATTTGGTTTTGCAGTTTTTTTTTTTTCTTTTCTAAGGCCTTGGCCTTGTATGCTTACAGTGTCATTTGCACTGGTACAAAAATATGAGATGTTGAGCATCCTATCTCATAACATATGGCGGCAATCTTAGAGAGTTTCTTTTCTTGTAAACTTCTATCTCTTGTAACATTATAAATATAATTCATTGGATCACTCAAATGTAGTGACAACCAATTCAACCAAATCCTGTGTTCGTTCATGGTATAAGAGCTATAGCAACCTAGAATATCATGTCGAGCTCTACCCAATAGAACAACTCTTCTTTCCTAGCAAATTCGAACCCTCAATCCTCCCCCATCATTCCCAATGGAAATCTCTCCACCTTGATTTCCATCAWAATGGATGGGAAAAATTACGTCCTTTGGAGATTTCACATTGAACCAGTTATCTTCGGATCCGGACTCATCGGATACATCGATGGAACCTTCAAATGCCCTCCTCAACCATTTGAAAACAAATTGGCTGAAATCTATGCCTACATTGGCTAGGTGAAGCAATATAAATTGCTCATGGGGTGGCTTCTTTCCACTCTTACTGAACTTGTCATTGCTCAGTTGGTGGGGTGTAAATCGTCTTGTGAGGTGTGGCAAAAATTGGAAAGACTTTATGCCTCCAGATCTTGAACTCGCATCACTCAACTAAAGAACCAACTTCTCACCTTAATGAAAGAAGGAGATTCCATGGAGATCTATCTCCAAATAATCAAAAGTATTTCAGACAACCTCTCGGCAGCTGGATCGCCATTATTTGCTTCGGACATGGTCCACTATACCCTCAACGGTTTAGGGGCCGATTATGATGTGTTTGTTACCTTAGTACAAACTCGTCCTGACGAAATCTCCTTTGATGATCTACAAGCTCTTTTGATTAGTCAGGAACTTCGAATAGAGTCCAGACTCCTTATAGCTTCGATCCCACCTTCGACCAACTATTCGACTAAGGGTTCTGTCAAAAACCCCAAGTACGCTGACAAGGATGGCATAGACAAAGACTCAACAAACAAGTCAAAATATGCCAACAATCCTTGCCAAATCTATGGAGGTCGAAACCATTCAGCTTTCTGGTGTCGAAATTGATACAACAAGGAATTCAAGCCTCRTTCCAAGAAGCCCAATACTGCTCCTGCTGCTCCTACAGCTTCAGTTCCTAATGGCACTCAATTCGAAGACTATTGGTACCCAGACTCCGGAGCAACCAATCACATCACCTCTGAATTGGTAAAGCTGCAAGTTCACTCCCAAATGATGGACCTGATCAGGTCACAATCGGTAATGGTGAAGGTTTGGACATCTCATATATTGGCTCTTCTACTATTTCTTGCAAATCTCAAAATTTATCTATGAATAATATACTTCATGTTCCTTTGATTAGCAAGAATATGCTCTCTGTTGCTCAATTTACCAGAGATAATAATGTATATTTTGAATTCCATCCCTTCTCTTGGACTATTAAGGATCGACGTACGGATGCTCCCCTCCTACACGGAACACTTATAGATGGACTCTACAACCTGCATTTACTAGTAAATAAGGCTGCTCTAGTCACTAATAAGGTTTCTACAACCAAACAATTTGCATACATAGGAGTTCGAATTTCTCTAGATATTCCATCACCAGCAACTGTTCATCTGATAGTTTGTGACTCAGCTCTTCCAGCCTCCACCAAGCAGTTTCCATTCTGTTCGTCCTGTCCACATGGGAAGAGCCATCAACTGTTATTGCTGCCATTTTCCACCACATTCTCACAACCATTGGAGCTTGTAGTCTCAGATCTTTGAGGACCTTGTCCTGTTCCATCTGTTAAGGGCTATAAATACTACATTTATTTTATGGATTGTTTCAGAAGATATATTTGGATTTTTCCACTATTTTCTAAATTTGATGCTCTAATAACTTTTATCTCCTTCAAGAAACATGTGGAAAAACTTCTTGGGTTCCCAATTAAATGTCTTAAAACTGACAATGGCAAGGAATTTATCACTTTCAAATCATATCTCACCCAAGAAGGTATTTCACATCGTTTCTCCTATCCACATGTTGCAGTCCAAAATGGAAAAATTGACCAGTAAATAAGGCTGCTCCAGTCACTAATAAGGTTTCTACAACCAAACAATTTGCATACATAGGAGTTCAGACTTCTCTAGATGGACTCTACAACCTGCATTTACCAGTAAATAAGACTGCTCCACGGAACACTTATAGATGGACTCTAGAACCTGCATTTACCAGTAAATAAGGCTGCTCCAGTCACTAATAAGGTTTCTACAACCAAACAATTTGCATACATAGGAGTTCGGACTTCTCTAGATATTCCATCGCCAGCAACTGTTCACCTGATAGTTTGTGACTCAGCTCTTTCAGCCTCCACCAAGCAGTTTCCATTCTGTTCGTCCTGTCCACATGGGAAGAGCCATCAATTGTTATTGCTGCCATCTTCCACCTCATTCTCACAACCATTGGAGCTTGTAATCTCAGATCTCTGGGGACCTTGTCCTGTTCCATCTGTTAAGGGCTATAAATACTACATTTCATTTATGGATTGTTTCAGAAGATATATTTGGATTTTTCCACTATTTTCTAAATTTGATGCTCTAATAACTTTTATCTCCTTCAAGAAACATGTGGAAAAACTTCTTGGGTTCCCAATTAAATGTCTTCAAATTGACAATGGCAAGGAATTTATCACTTTCAAATCATATCTCACCCAAGAAGGTATTTCACATCGTTTCTCCTATCCACATGTTGAAGCCCAAAATGACAAAATTGAGCGCAAGCATCGCCAAATAGTTGAAATGGGCTTAACTCTTATGCACCATGCGTCTATGCCTCGTGGCTACTGGTTTGATGCCTTTGAAACGGCTTGCTTTCTATTGAATCGGCTACCCTCTCGGGTTCTTGTTGGAAAATCCCCATTTACATCATTGTTTGGCAAACCGGTGGATTATCGCTTTCTCAAAACATTCGGCTGCTTACGCTTCCCTCATCTTCGTCCTTACAACTCCAATAAAATGGAGTATCACACCAAGGCTATAAGTGTCTGGACATCAGCACCGGTCGTTGCCATATTACTGTTCGTGTTATATTTAATGAACAATCTTTTCCTTTTTCTCAGATGGGTGCTTCTTCATAGCATGCGCAATCCTCCACAAAACATAGTGGCGTCTCTCTTCCTCCCATTTTGGCATCCATCACTCCCTCAGCCGAGAGCCATCAATATGATCCACCTCTTAGTTCTGCTACCACCTCTCTCCCTGCCAAACCTGCTGCTGTGTCACCTGCGTTCACTACTTCAGTTGATAGTCCCTCCACCTCTATCGTGTTGCCTTCTACACAACTTCTTACTGATGTTACGCAAAGCCCATCTGCGCCCACGATTCCCATCAGCAATGTTCATCCCATGGTAACCCGCGGCAAGCATGGCATCTTTCGGCCCAACAAGAAGTAATCTCTCCTTGCATCTCGCTATCCTCTTCAAATGACTGAACCATCTTGTTTCACTGAAGCTAATCGTCACCCACATTGGCGAGCTGCTATGTGTGATGAATTTGATGCCCTCTTTCGCAATGGCACATGGGATCTTGTGACTCCTAAACCAAACTCAAATATTATCAGGTGCAAGTGGGTTTTTCGCATCAAAAGAAAAACCGGTGGCTTCATTGACAGATTTAAGGCCCACCTTGTGGCCAAAGGCTACAATCAGCGTGAAGGGTTTGACTATACTGAAACCTTCAGTCCGGTTATCAAACCCACGACCATTCGAGTTGTTCTTAGCATTGTTGTCTCTCATTCCTAGCCAATTCATCAACTGGACGTCCAAAACGCATTCCTCCATGGTGATCCTTTTGAGGAGGTTTACATGGTTCAACCCCCGAGGTTTGTTGACTCTCAGCACCCAACTCATGTTTGTCGACTACGGAAATCACTTTATGGGCTTAAACAGGCCCCTTGGGCCTAGTACTCTAAACTGCATCAATTTCTTCTCTCTTTAGGCTTCACCAGTTCCAAATCGGACTCATCTCTCTTTATATATGCTAAGGATGCCACCGTGATGTATGTTCTCATTTATGTTGATGATATTCTGGTCACCGGATCTTGCAACTCTCATATCTTCAGTCTCCTACAGAGCATGCGATCTCACTTTGCTGTGAAGGAACTTGGATCTCTTCACTACTTCCTTGGCATTGAAGCCATTCGCACCAACTCTGTCCTATTTTTATCCCAACGCAAATACATTACTGAATTGTTGCGAGATCTCTCACTTGATGGTGCCAAACTGATCAAGACTCCATTGTCGACAACAATTGTTCTCTCCAAATCTGATGGTGATCCATTACCTGATCCTTCCTCTTACCAGAAGGTCATCGGTGCTCTTCAATACTTACTAATGACACGTCCTGACCTGTCCTTTGTGGTCAACAAAGCTTGTCAATTCTTCGCTACTTGAAGGCCACAGTTGATTATGGACTTACCTTCACCTCTTCACATTCCACTAATTTACATGTCTTCTCTGACTCGGATTAGGATGGCTGCCTGGACGACAATCCTCTGGATGAATTCTGGCTTAGGTTCCGAGTTTTATTTTCTTTTGTTTACTTGATGAAGCAAACTAAAAAATATCAAGCAAAGCAATAGAAGTGAAACCTAAAGCAAAACTGAATCCAAAGTTGCATTTTCCTACTCTCATACATTTTTACGAGATCAAATGAAATTGCATTGTAAACAAATTAAAAGGAACCAAATTAAAATAAATAATGCAATAACCAAAGTGTCAATATTCAATTTTATATATAAATAACTCTATTTATGTATTTTATTATGTATTATACCAAGACATTTGACATTTTAGAATATCATTTCATGTTGCAACAGCTATAAACAAAAGGCACTGTACATACTAGAGGTGTCAATTAAGCTGGATTTGGTCCAACCTGATCCAGTCTAATATGAGTCTACTTACAAATGGATTGGACCCAATCCAGTCCAAATCCAATTCAATCCATTAAAATGTAAATGGACTGGATTGGATCCAACCCAAACCGAATGAAATATCAAAAATTATATATAAAAAATAGAACATATAAAAATTACAAAAATATACCCTTTTGGCATTGAAATAGCACTTTTGTAAAAGTGCTTTGTAAAAGTACTTTTGTAAAAGTACTTTCGTAAAAGTACTTTTGTATAAGTGCTTTTATAAAAGTACTTTTGTAAGAGTTTTCATAAAAGTGCTTTCGTAAAAAATTCTTTTATAAAAGTACTTTCATACAATTATTTTTATAAAAATACCTTCATAAAAATGATTTTATGTCGGCTTCGATTTTGATCGGTTTCAAATTGGACAAAGATTTGGCCTCATGATCGAATTATTGAAAATTTGATTTAGGTCCAATTCAGACTAATAAAAATATGAATCAATTTATTTTAAATGCTCAATATAATAATTATACAAACCGTCCAAATCCCATTTAATAAGGTTTAGCTCGGATTGAAACCGATCCCCCTAACAGGCTAATACACACTCTACAAACATGAGAATCTAATCGCACGTTAGAAACATCTTCCATAAATTTAATATACATGTAGAGATCTTTTAAATATACATGTGGAGGAGATCTTCTCAATATAATATACTATCTTTCATGTTATCAATGCGTCCAAAAACTAGTTGGTCCATCAAAGTGTCCACTTAAGATCTTTTAAGGCTAAGGGGTCAGGGAAATTTTTCGAAGGCCAGATAAGCACAATAGATGTAACACGTAAGGACAAAACAGGGAGCAGGTTTGTGTTTGCATTTTATTGCAGTTAGAGAATCCCCCCCCTCCCCCTCTGCTTTGTGGGCATCTTGCTGCCTCACCATTCAGCCTGGAATGATTGATATTCATTAAGTAAGCTCTCGTTAGATCAGTCATGAAGGCGCTGCTTGTCGCTCATTCTTTGCTCGAAAATTCGGATATTGAAATAATTGTGAGATACTTTTATGAAGTACCCAATGATAATTAGACGCATAGGGAGTTGTCAATGAGAGCGCTATCATTGAATTACCACTAAAAAAAGTGGGGGAGATGTCAATTCAGAAATCAGAACCGACCGTAGCATGCATTTCCCAATGCGGCTCCCACCATAGTGTCGTGTCGGTAGTCTCCTCTCAAGTATTTAATAATTGAACTGATTATTAACCTCTACTGTATTTAATAATTAAACTGAAATTGGTTAAAATTTAACATGTCGGTGGTAATTAACACTGTGTTCTTCGGTGTAAATTGTTTTTCTTGTTACAAGCTTAAAACAAATATAAATAAAAACAAGAAACGTGTTTTTGGTTTGCAACCTCGGTTGGATTGGCCCAAATCCTAACCCGAACCAGATATAATTGAAAATTTTGAAGTTAAACAATCTGATTTGCAGCCCTAGTTATTCCAGAGGGAGTAATATAATCAAACTGTTTGGATGTGTAGGTTGATACACTGGCTCCACCAGCACACAAAGTCAGTGGGATATTGTGATTACGAATTGGAAGCGTGAATCTCCTATCTACAACCTGTTATCACATAGCTACCCAAAGGACATTACAGTCACACAATGGAAGTATCCCTCCTTCTCATTCATGCGATCGAGTAGTGTCTTGTCCAGAATGACCAATTGGACCTCACCTCCAATGGAATAAAATTACTCAAAACTAATTTGGACAGGTCTTAAAAAATGAGTCCAGATTTGCTGCCACAAAAAGTGTGTTAACATGTTGGAATTAATCGTATCCAGCTGTCCGTCAGGAATAGACTTATTCGCGGATTGGGCTTTTGGGCCCAACTTTATACTGTTTTAGGCCCATTAGAATTTTGACATCAATTAAGTCCGAGTTCGGCCCATGAACACGTCTAGTCAAAAACATTTCTTATACTTGCATTTCACATCATGGAGAGATGTTCTTAATGTGTGGCTAGATGCCATATTTTAAAAACTTGAAACCTGCTGCAGGAACGCACGCATATCCCTTGGTATACAGAAAATTCTCTGTACCATACTACTAACAATCTGCCACACCAGCTCGTTTTCCCTATTTTAAAATTATATTGATTTTTTAAATGATTTGGCAGATTGCCATTGATTCGGTGCAAGTGCCAACTCTATGATCAAATCTCATCCATGCCAATGAGCTCTTGCTCGAACACAGCTCTTGAACAACTAAAGTCTCTCCAACATCAATATGAATATTATTACCAAAAAAAACATAATATGAATATTGGCTACTAAAAGAAGAACAATCATGGAGGTTAAAGTCTAGAGAGCTATATGGCTAAGGGATGGTGACAAAAATACAAAAGCTTTTCACCATATAACGACCAAGAAAAATTCAAAAAATAATATTAAATGGATGAGGAATGATAGTGGTGAGTGGACTTCAAACAAGTACGAGATATCTGAGATCTTTATGAATGCTATTCAAGGGGTGGGGGGTGCACCTGAAAGCATTGACACTTCCTACTTCAATAGCTTCTCAATGCCTAAACTACAAGAATCTCATATTGACTCCTTGTTACAGCCACCGACCTATGAAGAAATAACCTTGGTTGTGAAACAAATGCATCCACACAAGTCTCCGAGGCCTGACAAATTTACTGCCTTCTTCTATCAACACTTTTGGAGTCTAATTGGTCATGGAGTTTATGATATATATGGTACTCAACTTTTATGAGTCAGAATTACTGCCAAAGGAAATTAACAATACCAATCTAGTTTTTATTCCTAAAAATAACACTCCTACAAATTCATCAAGTTATCAGCCTATAAGTCTCTGCAATGTTTTGTACAAAATCGTCTCAAAATGGATGGTAGCAAGGCTCCAACCAATTCTACAATAAGTTATTTCACCCTTTTTCTAAAGGATAGATAGATTGCAGACAATGCCTTTTTAGTCAGGAAGCTTTCCACCTAATGAGAACTCAGAAAAAAGGTAAAGGGTATGTGGCTCTTAAACTTGACATGTCTAAAGCTTTTGACAGGGTGGGTTGGCAGTTCTTACAAGAGACGTTCTCCAAAATGAAATTTCCTTCTAAGTGGTCCAAGCTCATACGTCAATCTATATCCACCCCTCTTTCTCAGTTAAGCTAGGAGGAGAAGCCTTTGGTCATTTCCACCTCAAAAGAGGATTAAGGCAGGGTGACCCCTTTCCACCATACTTGTTTATTGTCGGTATAAAAGTACTCATTCAGCTACTGCAACAAGCAATTTCTATGAAGCAACTAGAGGGCATTAAGTTGTGCAGAACAATTTGTAGATTCATTGGACCTGAAAGAAAGGCCCACTACATGGAAAGAGCAACTTCACTGGGCTCATATACAACGACTAAATCCATGACTCCAATCTATTTCTTTTGTTCACATAAACAGGAATAGCAATAGACTGGCCCATCTTTTTGCGTACCTAGCTTGTAAGGGCCAAATGCAAATAATTTACAATTCTAACTACCAAAATCATGTACGTTGCCCCCTTATTAGTGAAGCTGATTTCCTCTTCTTTGCCAAAAAAAAAAGGTGATAGCCTCAATAAGTCCAAGTGCAATTGGTGTTCTTGCAAGAAACGGTGAAGGGAAGGTCTTGTTCGCAGTGAGCAAGAATATAGGGGTGTGTTTGATTAATATGGCTGAGGCATGGGCAGCAATGGAAGCTCATCAAATCGTGATCAATTTAAGGAAAAATAAGATTACCATCAAGCAATTAAAAGATGTTAAAAATGGGTAAGTGGTTTAGAAATATTGTGGACAGAGATTAGGGGGGGGGGTTAGCCCAAGTTCCTTTTTACGTTTATTCGAGTGATGTGTGGGGGAGGATTATCCCCTCCGGCCCTGTGTTGCTGATCACTCATTTGCCTATGTACTTCGGAGTTTCGGGCCTGCTGGGCTCCAACGATGTTGGACTTGGTGTTGAGACAAATTTTTCATCCGGTTCAGTTTTGCATCTATTTGTTTGTGATTATGATTTAACTCTTAATATAAAATTTGTATTTTTTTTTAGTCTCATTTGCACTTGTGGGTAATATAAGTTTTGTATTTGAGAAAATACCACATTCCTCTTGCCTCAACTCTATCTCATATATATTAATCTGTAGCATAAAGTAAACTAGAATTTAGACTCAACTTATTTGCGCTCTTGTGATGTAATGCCACTTTCATTTGAACATTTTTGAATGCAAAGCAAATGATCACAAAACGTTGCAAGCCATCAAGGACGAGATGATGATGGAAGGTTTCAAAAGTTCTTAATAAATTTCTTTCAATATTTTGGTCCCATATTTTCTTTCAATATCAAACCAAACATACATGTAAATATGTACAATATAAATACATACAAAATACAAGATTTTACTCTCTACGTATTTATATTTGTACTCCTTCCAAACTCAGCCTTGGAGCCAAACCATGGAAGCACGTTCAGGATTGAGCCAGTA